TTGGACGTACTTTTGATCACCTGGTTGGTGATAATAGCGGCAGGCTGCCGAATAATTTTGGAGTACTAGACATACTTTTGATCACCTAGTGGGTGATAATAGCGGCAGGCTGCCAAAAAATTTTGGAGTACTGAGCATACCTTTGATCACCTAGTTGGTGATAATAGCGGCAAGCTGCCGAATAATTTTGGAGTACTAGGCGTACTTTTGATCACCTGGTTAGTGATAATAGCGGCAGGCTGCCGAATAATTTTTTAGAGTACTGGGCGTACTTTTGATCAAAATTATGTCCATAATTCTCTTTTTTGCATGCTATCACCAACACAATTATGTCTGCTTCTTTTTATCTTCTTTTGCTTTCTGCTTTTACTTTCTGCTTTTCTCCATACATCCTTTTGCTTTTTCTTTTCTCTTTCTCCCTTTATTCCTTGCTTTTGCTTTCGGCCTGGTTGCTGCTGGGACCTTGTAGTGGGATCGCAAACAACATCATCAGCCCATCCTTGCAGTTCTTGCCATCTTTTTCACTGCTGGCAAAGTAATATGGACTCTACTGAGTTAGCTCCATTTTGAAGCCGTCGCCACCTCCCTGCATCTGACTCGCCAGCAGCTTGGCGTTGCTAAAGTCGCAAGTTATGTAGCTTCATAGGTTTGGCAGTTGGTATACGCTGTAGCCGGAGTTCGCCTCACTCGGTGGATCGTACTTGAACACTAGTCACCGACGCCGAGACCCTATACCCTTGTTCAGATGGTGCCTATGTGCAGGTCCGTCATGAAATGTATTTAAGAACCCATGAGGAAATCCAGCACTTGCACCAAACATGGTGGCCTCAGGAAACCCATGTAGCGGAAACCCATGCACCAAACAGTTTTCTTATCCTTGGCAGCCACCTTCATCGCAGAGGAGACCTGACTCGAATCATCGTTCCCACTGGCCGCTATCGATCCAGTAGGCCCCTTTTTTCTTTTTCCTACACACCAATTGAAACCCATCGTCTATGTCCATAGCCGCACTTGTCGGCCGTTTGGCCTCCTCTGCCTCCTTCCTCACAATCTTGAACTCGTCCATTGACGAGTTAAACCTCTCCAGAGCCTCATCGTTCACAATAACGAGCCAATCGTGTACGTCATCCAAGTCATCAGGGAAGGCCATCGGTTTCCCCCAAACAGGCACCATCGAGCCAATCGAGCTAGCATCGTCTGCGATTCCTTGGTGATTTGCTTGATTGGGGCTCTGAATTCGTAGAAGTCCTTGCTATTAAGCAAGAATTGCGAGGAGTCGGAGAGCTTGGAAATCGAGGAGGAGAGAGGGCCTTTGGTCAGGGCTTGGTGGCGTCGGACTTCGTCTGTGATGGCGGAGATTGGTCCACGATCACAGCGTCTTAGCCTATGACAGTTGTGTAAATGGGGGATTTTTTTGGAAAAGCCCAAAGAGGGGGGTTCTGGGAGTCCAAGAAAGAAGAAGAAGCAGCGACCATAGATCTGGGAGTCCATGGCGCCTGAAAAAATACGACGAACAAGTCGGACTTACTACTGGGTAGCTGGCGGTGGTAATGTTGGTGCACGAGTTTTGGAGTGGGAGTGTTTGGATGAAGAGTTTTGGGAGCAGAAGCAGTGTACCCAATTGGGAACCCCATTAAAAAGCTTCAAGCTTTGAGGTTTTGGGTTGTGAGTCGGTTACAGAGTTTGGAGATTTGAAATGGGTTTTTTGTTTAGTTTCTATGTGTTTTTCCAGAGAGAGAGAAAGAGGAGTGATGGTGTTTAAGGGATGAGTTTTGGAGCTTAGTGAATGTTTTTTTTTTGGAAAAGCCCAGTGAGGTTTGTGGGTATTTGCAGATTCACGGCGGAGGTGAAAAAATGAAAGAGAACCGACATAACTTTTCGTATCGTTTCCTACAGACGGTACCAAATGTTGATGCACAAAACTGGGAGGTCTTAGAACAACGTAAATCCGACTGTGAATCTGCAAGAAAGTAAAGAACACAAGATGTATCGTGGTTCACCCCAATATTTAGGCTACGTCCACACTGATGTTGATATTGTTTCTCTCTAACTGTATGTATGGATTACAAGGGTGAGGGGGAGTCCCCCAGAGAAAGAGAGAGTTTGAGAGAGCTCTCTGTTTGTGAGGATGAGAGCTTGAGGTTTGTGAGGGTGAGGAGGCCCTTTTATAGAATAAGGGCTCCTCACTTATTACATATTTGCCCCTTCATTTATTACATAATTACATTTGAGTCCCCCAAGTATTTATATAAGATCTAAATTCGGAGGCCCTAAGTATGGTATAAACAATTAGCATATACAAATTCATCACAGATTGTTGACATATCTCCAACCCTATCAAGTTTCCTGTGTTGTTATCTGGTTTCGATATATGACTTATATATACAAATGGCTTCTTCAGGGTCTTCATTTTGATTTGTACATTAATGGGGATGTACGAGCTGGATTGATATTTTGACTAGTACGAAAGTAACGTGGAACTGCGCTATAACCGGAATCAAGGTAGGGGTTCTTGGGGGCCTCTATAATGATTGAATGTTTGGCCTTATTAAGCTTTGTGAACTGTAACTCGTTCTTGTTAATTTGTGAGAATTGATGTGCTTATGTTTGTTTGGTAATTAGAATGATTGGTTTTGACCAGTTACTATTCTTGGATATAAATTGCTGGAAATGTTATATAACTATTGTTGATATTATTCTTCAAGTAATTATGGCATGCATATACACGATGGAATCCATATCATGCATTTCAATTATGAGAGGCATGAGTCGTGCGTGGGAGTTATACGGGCTTGTGCCGTGAGCATTGGAAGTACTATGTATTGGAAAGATGGATCCAACTCTCCTAGGGACCAAGGTTTCCGGTAAGCATAATTGATGGGCGGAAAAGACAATCTTTATGTGACGGACAACTTGGCGACCAAGAGAAGGACATTGTGATTGAAAGAAAAATGGAAAGTGAACGAATATGTATCATGGGTGATAGTTCATATAACGAGACACTCGAGTCCAAAGCATGGTATGGGACGTGTGAGGCCTTGTGTGTTTTGGAGTATAGATTAACGAGAATAGAGGTGGGCATGTGGGAACATTCATGCATTCATCATGGAATCATTGTTCGTAATTTCTAATGACTGAAATCGATGATTATGTGCCACTTTGTTTAGTTTGATCAATTATTAATGATGAGGTTTATGTCTTTGTTGAGCTGTGGTTTTGCTCACCCATTTATAGATCTTGCAGGTATTGAACCAAAAACCTAAGGTCTTTGTACAACATATGTAAACTAGAAGTTATCGTTATACTTTTCATATGTAATAGGTTCTAGACAAAAGAATAAGGAACCTTTGCTGTAGTTTATGAGCTGTAAATCCTTATGTACATTATTAGTATCTCTAGGCTTCCACTTCAAAATTTTAATGTTCAAGGAATGCTTTGGTTTCATTTTTATTTTATGTATTTATTTTTAATGCATCTTGATTATAGAAGTTCCTAATTCTATAATTGGGATGTGGTTCATGCCTCAGCTCAAAAAAATATATATTATCCTGAGTCTGGACGTGACAGAAAAGCTGAAGCAGTCACAAATCTGTATCATTATTGTGTTGGGATATTTATGTTGCTTTGGATTGGCAACTTCTAGAACTAAAGGATCATTTTAATGAGACCAACACCAAGTTACTTCTTTGTTTGCCATATTTATGTCCAGTTGACTCCTTCTTTTGATATCCAAAAGTGATTAAGTCTTGCTAGTTTTATTAACTATAAATGAGCATCTATTTGGATTCGATTGGAGACTTACATTCTGGATATGCAATCTAGCATCGAGTTATCAGGTTTAAAAGAGATTGCATATCTTGCAAAAAAATGGTTTAGTGGAAAAGGACAAGGTATATCCACTAGCTTGCTTGTGACATTAGCATTAGCTCTTAATGTTGCTATTGCTATCGATGAAAGAGAATTTTCGGCCATAAAATTTCTAAAGATCGATTGAGAAACTTGTCTTGGAATATTGATACTAGCTACCAGTGTTGTAAAATATGTTAAAGCAACTAGTTCCTTATCTAGTTTGTTAACTTGTAAAGATTGGATATATTTACTCTTAGTTCGAGAATCGATCATCAAACTAATTATCTATCTATTTTATTTTGTTGCTTAGTTATCTCTTCTTACACTAATTAAATATTTTGAACTTCTAATTGTTGGGTTTCGGAGCATCTTATTGGATTAATTTAATTCAAATAATTGAATACGTAGAGGTAAATAATAAATAAACAAATATATATCCGGTTGGTTATAATTGATAAAGCAACAAACAAAGAAGTATAAGAGATTAGCTTACTTGAATCTCTAGCCACGTGCATGTCGCAAGATTGGATCATCCCTATGCTTGCAATCTTCCTCTTCATGATTGATCACGCGAAACTCCTCCAGTGTTGAGCCTCTAAGAAACCCACACAAATAAATCCAGCAATGGATGATGGAGAGATTCATTTAATTGTGCTAGCAACATGTCTCACTTGTATCAATATAGAATGGGCGGCACCAAGGCGCTTTGGCATAGGGTTTTTTTCTCTTTTTTCTAAAGGACAAAACTAAACAGTTTTTGCATTCTATATATTGAGAGAAACACAAGGAGTAAATGAATACTCCTTGCCCATTGTGATGTTTTTTAATGTTCAATAAAAACATATATGCGTTTGTTAAGATTCAGTTAATATTATATTGAATTTTTTTATGATTCAGTTAATGTTCAATAAAAAGATATATGCATTTGTTACGACTTTGATGTTGTATGGCTTAACTGAACTTTCACTCTTACTTGAATGATTACGGTTAAACTATGTCAACTTCTTATATTGATTTTTTTTTTATAAAGATAATAAAACAAAAAGAATGTGCGGAACGAGCAGAGAAAAGGAACTCTTTTCAGCAGAACACGGTAACTGTTGTCTCCCCTCCACCAACCAAGTTATTTTTTTAACCTAGTAAAAACTGCAACAAGTGTGGCTTTGAACTTTAACTTCACCTTTGCTGCTGCCGAGTCCCGAGTCGTCGTCCCTCGTCCATCATTCTCTCTGCTTTTTCTCAACAAATATTCCCTACCCCCAAAACCCCTACCCGTCTCTCAATCCGATTCCAAACTCCTCCTCCTCTTTCATGACGATTGGTTCAGCCGGATCCAGCATCGTTGGTATATCAATGGTTCCTCTCTTTAATTTATTGTGTTCGTCTTTTAATTTTGCTTTTGGTTTAAAATTTATCGAAATTAATTGTGGATTGCTTTTTATTGCAATTGGAATCGTTATTTGAATTCGATCAAACTGATTGGTTTGCTTGTTTGGTTAATCTGTACTGAATTAGATGTTCAAAGTTAAATGGGTTTTTCATTGACTTGTGAGGTTGTAAGGATCTATAGTAAGTAGTTGACATAAGTAGGTAGAACAGATGGTTGTTTTTCGATGGTTGAATCGAAGATTGAAATACTCCGGCCTCATATGCTATCTAGATGATAAAGATTAGTTATTATGTATATTTGGTCTGTAATGATTCCTTAAATATGGAAATTGTTTAACGGTGTATATCTGATGTGGAAGGCATAATGGGTAAGATAGGTTTCAATGCATTTCAGTTGATCTAATGATTAAAGACGGTACTCATTAATAACCTTATTTGAGTACATTAGTTGAGGAACATTTTATGTATTTATAGAATCCGAGTCTTGTAAGCAGCTAAATTAAAAGGCAACTTAAGGAGGTACCTTTTTTGGAGATGTCATTACATGGTGAAGAAGTGTTTATTCCTAGTCTTTAATCGAACGATCCATGATTATATCCTTAAGTAACTTATCTTAGCTCTCTATTAAAGCCGAACAAGATATATGTGTTTGTTACGATTCAGTTAGTGTTGTATACCCTACCATACAAAGGACATAACAAAGTTTATGGGGAAGTTTCACTGGTTTTGATGTATAGCACCATAACTCTCTTTTTTGAAAGAGTGCTGTCGAGAGTTGGACACCCATACAACTAGAACAGTCTATTTAATCTGAAATCTGTTAATGCCTTGTTGAAGTGACTTTATTTGATCCCATGTGTAATGTGTACGTTGCAAGGTTGGGATGTTTAATCATATCTTTTGATGTTGTGCAGTGCCGAGAAATTTTAGGTTGCTGGAAGAACTCGAGCGTGGAGAGAAGGGTATAGGAGATGGTACTGTAAGCTATGGAATGGATGATGGAGATGACATTTACATGCGCTCTTGGACGGGTACCATAATTGGTCCACTCAATGTAAGCAAGTGCCTCAATAATCCCCCAGCCTCCCTGTTTCTTCTCCTATGAATTGTTCTTATGTAAACCATTTGATTTGATGGTTTGATGGTATTAGTTTTGTGAATTTGATGTGTTGCATCATATTTATATTCTTTTAACTGATTCAGTCTCATTCAAGATGAAGTTTTTTTTTTATATTCTTTTGTCTAGATCTTCTCATATCAGTAATTTCACATTCACTTGGTTTATAATTAAATGAGTGCAATGTAAGAAAGGCAATCCCACAGAGCAGACAAAATTTATTTATGATCTAGATCTATGCACTTTAGAGGTTATTGTAGTAGATGAGTCTCCTGCATGAAAATTGCAATGGGCTTTCTCAAGCAATGCTTTAATAGTTGTTCATGAAGAGACATCTAATGAAGCTACCATTATTGAGTCACATTTAGGAAATATGTACAATGATTAAGACAAGTTTATTCTATTGACAAAACATTTCTTATTGTTTTTGCTTTTTTACTTTGCGTGTGTATTTAGATATTTGGATTATTTACGATCTGGATCTATGCACTCTAGAGGTTGTATTTTAGTAGACAGGTCTCCAGCATGAAAATGGAAAATGGGCCTTCTCAAGAATTTTTTTAACATTTACATATTCATTAAGAGACATCTAATCAAGCTACCATTATTGAGTCACATTTAGATAATGCATGTACAATATGATGCTTAAGACAAGCTTATTAGTTGACAATACATTTCTTATTGCTTTTGCTTTTTCACTTTGTGAGTGCATTTAGATATATTGAGTTGTCAGGACATTAATATCTAGTCATTTAAAGTGTAAGAACAATTGGAGGTGAAAATAAGTGAGCTTGCAGTTACTATTAGCTCTTGCAGGTGTTATCCTTTATCCAATTTCCTTTTAGTTGTGTGTTTTTTAGTGTGGCATGTTTGTGCTTTATGTGTGGATTTTTCTGATAATTCATATCTTGGTGACTTAATATGATACAATAACACTTGTTAGAGAAGAGATTTCTCTTTTTAGAACTCTATACTTAAAGCTACAGGGTTAACTATATTGAAGCGTTTATGTCTCTGAATAAGGATCCTTACGAATCAATATTACTTTCTTTGATGATAAAGTTGAAGTAATTGACGGTAGGTCTTATTTAGTTAGTGAGTCCAGTAGTCTAGTTAGGGTTTCAGATTTCTAAATCTATGGATTGCTAGAGTTGATATTCAGGTATTTTGTTTATGAGAAGCATTCATGCCTAGGTTTCTCTATCTCATTAGTGGCATGATTGAACTCATGGGTGTCCAAGAGGTTATATATTAAGCCTAAGTTCTAGTTTCTTAAACATAACATTGAACCTTGCTTCAAAAAGTCGATGTCCTTGGTACCCCTCTCCTTAGATATCTCCACTCATCAATGTAGGTCTGTTATGTAGCGTCATTCATCCATGCTAGCATCATATCTGTGGGAACATCAGTCTTGAAATGGTAGCCTTTTTCTTTCTTAGGTAATTTCACTTATCAATGGTAGCCCTCTTCTCTCGTAGTGGCACTCATCGACAGTAACCCTCCTTAGGTGGCTACACTAATCAATAGGAGCCCTCTTCTTAAGTATCTTCACAGTTAAAAGTACTTTTGGGAAGAATTCAGGCATTCTGTTGTTAAAAGGATGCTCTTGGAAAGTTAGTTCTGACTATCGCCCCAGTTATTGCTTTACCAGATTTCTCCTATCCTTCAATGGTGGATTGATACTTTTGGTGGTGCTATAGGAGCTGTGTTTTGAGAAGGGGGCATTCCAGTTGGCTTTCAATTTTCTTGTTTGGCTAACCATCCAGTAGTCTTTGTGGTGCTAACAATGGAGTCCTTTGTTCTGGACCAACCTATTGAGATTCTGGCAGACCACAAAATTGTTCATTTCTTGGATCAGTGCATTTTAACCTCTGATCGGCAGAAATTGTTGTTCAATTTTTTTTGGATATAAGCACATTGTTGAACACCAGGTAGTTCACAGAAAAAAAGTGCCAATGCTTTGTTCCACCAGCATGTACTTTTGACCATAATGGGTTTGTCTAGTTCCATGCTCAAAAGCTTTAACTGAGATTGAAGCAGCTTATAAGACCAAATCAATCCTTACTAAAATGTTTACAAGACGGTTCAATGTCCCAAAGATGGGTGTCCTCCAATAAAAATGGAGTTTTTCTCTTTTTACTTTTCTGGTGTCATGCCCTATAACCAAATGGGCTGCAGAGTTATAACAAGAAAGCTCATGGATTTTAGACTCGTGCTTGATTTCCACTTGGGCAAAGATTTCATCAATTTATGGTTGAATATTGGTTATGTCACTTTGTGGTAACTGGTAAGGTAGTTGCTTTGTCCAACCCAATTAATTTAGTAGTGGAGTTTGTCACTGCTTGTTAGAAGTGAGCAGTTTTTATGTTGGACTGTTTTGATTTTTCATTCTAACATTATTTTTACTAAATTTTAATTCTGTATTGTTGTAAGAAGTTGATATTTGTAAGCATGTTTTGTATTTTACTGGTTCATATGCTAAAGTTCAAACGGAAATGATTTCTGATCGTTGTTTACCTCAGACTGTTCATGAAGGACGCATATATCAACTTAAGCTTTTCTGTGACAAAGATTATCCTGAGAAGCCACCAACTGTACGATTTCATACACGCATCAAAATGGCTTGTGTCAACCATGAAACTGGCATGGTAATGTTGTAATTTTTATTTAATTATTTTTTTGGTTAAAATGTTCCAAATTGTCCAATAAATCTGTTGATTTTGTAAAGTATTTGAACTGTTTGTTTCGTGTCTTATCTGGGCTTGGCTTTGCTCCCAGTATTATGTTGGGCTTACCATCTACTCCTGGTAAGGAACGATCAGAAGGAATGCATTTGTGGAACCCTTGTAATGTTATTAGTACTCTTTTTTAGCGATGATAACCCTTGTTTGGGCTTCCGTTATTAGGTTGGACAAGTTTATTTTCCCTGTATTTAACATTTGAATTGAAATTAAAAAATGTGTGCTTGATACCAGGAAAAAAAATAGTATAAATTATTGTTCCAAAATATACACAGTGAAACAAGGTGAGGAAATTCATATCTTGGGAATCTCAATTTCTTCAAAAGACTAAACATGACTTTTAAGGTTTGTATGGTTGTACGTCATAAGAATTAGGAAGGCAGTCTGTCGGGAATGCCCTCTTGAATAACTACTTTCAGTTTCAGTCTCGTTACTAAAATGTAAATTATTATTTGGACTTAGCTTCCTTGAATCTGTCATAGGTTCCATCTTGTTGCAGTGATTGATCAGACATCTCTCAGAAATTTCTCGTTCTCATTTCCTAATTTCCTGTTCAGGAGTTGTGTTTGACTCCCGTTGCTTAATTTGTTGAGTGATTGGTAACAGGTTGAAGTAAAGAAGTTTGGAATGCTGGCAAATTGGCAGCGGGAGTTCACCATGGAAAACATACTGATACAGCTGAAGAAGGAAATGGCAGCCTCGTACAACCGGAAGCTTGCCCAACCACCGGAAGGTACATACTACTAATTGGAGGCAACTTTGAAGGTTTGTCACATTTGTTGAAAAACGAATTGGCATAGGCTGAAATGCTTGTACATATGTACAATATTTCAATTAATGGTAGGTTTAACAAAAAAAGCAGTGGTCCTTAAGGAGCTTTAGTATCACTTGCCCCCTACCTTTCTCTTTTTGGTATTTCTTTTGTAAACTTTTTGAATTAGATTTTTCTCCATGTCTTGATTGAAATACTGAAATCATTTGTGAACGATTAATCGTTTCAGATGCTTTGATTGCAGATTTTTCTTGTTTCGTTTCTTATAAGTTCTTTTTCGAAGGATAATTTTACTGTAGTCGGAAGATCTTAACAACCCTCTAGTCACACGATGTTTTGGATATTGATTTAAAAGGTAATCCATGTGGATTAAAGCATCTTAGACAACCGGGGAAATTATATGTTGGGGTGGGATTCCAGGTAATTGTTTACAAATTAGTGAATTACTACCAAAACCAAAATTTGTAGAGAGGAAGATACATTCTTTTGTTGCTTTTGGCTTCCAATTGTCTTTTGCCAGCCGCAGGAGTATGTGATGCTATAATATTTGTCACTTTGAATAAACATTTAAGGCTTCGTTTGTTAGAGAATATTGGCATGGGTAATACTACTCACTATATTGAAGGTATTTTGATGGAAGCAATGAACGACAACTTCCTTAAGTTAAATGTCACTCATGAAAAAAAAGTTCTCTTTTAATCCTACTATTTTTGTGGCCTAAGAACTGAACCGAATTGGTGTTTAACGCCCTTATGTAGTAAATAGTCACCGGTTAAACTAATCTATCCTCACGTATTTTTATATGGTTCACACCTGCTAAGTTATCCACTCCAAAACGTATGTATAATTTAGTCGGTTTCACAAATTCGGGCTTGCTCCTTCTCGGTTGCCTCTATGGCGAATCTGCTCGTGCGCAACATGCGAATTATTCTTCTTCTTCGGGCGGAACCCTTTATCAAGTCGATGACCGTGAAATTCCGTCATTTCTCGCCCGTTGATTTAGTTTAACCGATTGAAATATTATTTACAATCTAACTTACTAAAGAGGCCTTAAGCTTTGTAGTTTAATTGTTAAAAAGCGTATATCTTGCATCATGAGTTCTTGTGTTCAACTCTCGTTATCTATTATCATTTACATGTAGGATTGATTGAACTATTAAAAGTAAATTAGATAGTTGTATAGCATAGCATAGTATGTTAGGCCCTTGCCGTGTAGGCCCTCCATAACATTATTATCCTTTAGTATAGTCGTAAATGGTTGCTAGGTGATGACTCAGCAGAAGAGATATTTTGTCTAATGTTGTTAATGGGTATATATGCCCCTTTTGTAATGGCTCTGAGTTATGCAATGAATGAATTTAGTCTTTAATTTCCTCTTTCCCTTATCTTTTCTCCTTTCATCTCTTCTTTGTGACTAGAACCCTAACATTAATGATAAGCCTATTTATACCCTTATATTTTTAGTAAATTAGATTGTCACAATCACATTGTAGAATTGTCAAATCTCAAGGGTGGGTTAAGATTAATACGGATGGGGCGGTGAAGGGTCATACAAATATTTTTTTTGGGGGGGGGCACTAGTAGAAAAACATGTTTGCGCGACGGAATCTTGAGCAACGGAGCAATTTTCGTCGCGCAAAGTATGTTTGTGCGATGCAAAACACAAAATGTCGCGCAAACATCCTTTGTGTGATGCCACTTTGCGCGACAAAGACTGGCGTCGCGCAAACATCCTTTGCGCGACGCATAAGTTTATGTGTCGCGCAAAGGCTGTTTGCCCAACGCTAGTCTTTGTCGCGCAAAGGCTGTTTGCGCAACGTTTTGTGCGTCGCGCAAGATCTTGGCGCCAAACAAAGAATGTTTTACTGCGTTTTTGCCAACTTTGCGCGACGTACGTGCACTTGCGTCGTGCAAAGCTGTTTTGCGCAACGCAGTGGCACCTACGGCGCGCAAAGTCTTTTTTTTTTTTTTGGGTTCTTGCATTGCCTTTTTCTTGTGTGGTATCCACTTGTGTAAATGTTTTAAATTGATGAGCGAATTAGTTCATTGTATTCATATAGGGTTAAAGAGTGTAGTTGTAAAAAATCATCAAAATCAGAGTTAAAATAACCGTTAAATTTTGATTTTTCGTTAATAACCGTCGACAAGTTTTGTCTCATTACTTGATCTCTGAATGTTTGTTTTTTGTGATTTTTGGCGTATGCGATCTCGAAGTATATACAAATAATTTTGACGGCTGGATCGTTGAAATTAGTTTGGTAGAATGCGTATCCCATCAAAACAATAGATTCACTAACACTTAAAAGTTTATTTATACTTTCATTAAGTATAACAAGTGTAAATGTTTTAAATTGACGATCAAATTTGTTCATTATATTCATATAGGATCAAGGAGTGTAGATGTAAAAAATAATCAAAATCGGAGTTAAAATAACCGTTAAATCGTGATTTTTCATTTATAACCGTCGAAACATTTTGTCCCGTTACTTGATATCTGAATGTTTTTTTTCTTCTGATTTTTGGCGTATACGATCTTGAAGCATATACAAACAAGTTTGACGGTTGGATCGTTGAAATTAGTTTGGTAGAATGCGTATCCCATCAAAACAATAGATTCACTAACACTTAAGAGTTTATTTATATTTTCATTAAGTATAACATAAGATTTTGTGGTATCCACTAGTGTAAATGTTTTAAATAGACGATCGAATTAGTTCATTGTATTCACATAGGGTCAATGAGTGTAGATGTAAAAAATAATCAAAATCGGAGTTAAAATAACCGTTAAATCGTGATTTTTCATTTATAACCGTCGAAAACTTTTGTCTCGTTACTTGATCTTTGAATGTTTTTTTATTGCAATTTTTGGCATATGTGATCTTGAAGCATATACAAACAAGTTTGACGGTTGGATCATTGAAATTAGTTTTGTAGAATGTGTATCCCATCAAAACAATAGATTCACTAACGCTTAAGAGTTTATTTATACTTTCATTAAGTATAACATAAGATTTTGTGGTATCCACTTGTGTAAATATTTTAAATTGACGATCGAATTTGTTCATTGTATTCATATAGGGTCAAGAAGTGTAGATGTAAAAAATAATCAAAATCGGAGTAAAAATAACCGTTAAATCGTGATTTTTTGTTTATAACCGTCGAAATTTTTTTTTGTCCCGTTACTTGATCTCTGAATGTTTGTTTTTTTGTGATTTTTGGCGTATGCGATCTCGAAATATATACAAACAAGTTTGATGGTTGGATCATTGAAACTAGTTTCATACAATGCATATCTAATCAAGTTCAATGGTATATATATATTATATAAATTTATTTATTAAGTAGCTTTAAATTTATTTATTTTGTTCGTGTAACACTTAAGAAATTGAATGATATGCATATTTATTACGTAGTTTTAAATTTATTATTGTAGTTCGGGTCGGGTTTTTGTTAGAAAAAATATATTATTGTGGGGTTTATGTAAAAAAATTGAATTTGAAGAAAGTAAAATTCCATTTTTAGTAAATTTTATAGTAATTTTTTTTATAAAAAAAGTACCTTGCGCGACGCCACAATGTGGTTGTTGCGCAAAAACGTTTTGCACGACGTCAAAATGTGCACTTGCGTCGCGCCATTGTTAAAATTTTGGCAAGGCAATTGTTTACAATAGGCGGTTCTTTTAAACTTTCCCAATTGTTAAAAAATAGGCAAAATGTATACCTGCATCTATCTTCCATCTCTCTCACTCGGTCTCTCTCTTCCCTCTCCCTCCTTCTCTATCATCTCGCCCTCTCTCCCTCTCTTTCACTCGATCTCTCTCCCTCTCTCTCACTCGGTCTCTCTCCTCATCTTCTTTCCATCCATCCCGACTGCACCCAGCCAATAGGCAGCAGCACACTGAAGATTGACCCAGGTATCTATCTTTTCTTAATTCTTTATTTTTCTTCTTTCTAAGGTCAGAATCAGGCTTTAATGCCTTAACTTGAAGATTTTGGTATTGTAATTAGATTCAATCTGGAAAATTAAATTAAAGATTGGGGGTTTTAGTGTTAAATCGAATTTTGGGGTTAGGAATTTTAGGGTTTTAGTGTTAAATCGAATATTAAGATGTTGATGGTGTTGTGCGTTGTGAGTGTGAATGAAAAACCAAGTAAACTTAGGTAAATTTGACATCATGAATCTCTGGGTGTGATAAGCGTTTGGAAGAATTTCTATATCGGATATCGTCTCTGTGTACTACATTGAATATTATTGAAAGAGTTAGAATGTTTAATTGTTGTTGCTCCGTTAGTTTTCCGGGAAAATGTAGGAAAAGTAAACCTTTTGTCGAAGTTATTTCTTTTATTGAATGTATGAACTATATGAGCCCATTGGGGTAGGATAGATTTCTTATATTTTTCTCATTAAGTAAAGTTGTCATTGGAGATGGAATGCAACTTTTAAGAAGCTAATAACCAGCTGAATTCTTGAGAAAACAAAAATGTTTTATGAATGTGCCGGGAGAAGAGTGAAGATAATGTGCTAATAATGCTTTAACTATGCAGATAGAGAAAACCCAGCAAACATAGATATTGAAACTCGGTTGTACGTGTTTCACATGATTGTGTTGTTTATGTTATTTGGAAAATAATCTATCTTTTTTCAATGGCATTGTTGCTGCAATCTTTGGATCTATGGGGTTCCTTGGGCATTATCTTGTGCAACAACTTGGTGAGTTAACTGTCAATAAATGCTTTTAATTGGAATTCCATTGAATTGCATGTATGCATTGTTTCATACTGTGATTGTTATGATTGAGAACATTTCTAGTAGGTGATTGTTGGACTGAACTTGATATGGGGAAATGTGATTTTGTATTTTATCCTTGAAAAAATGACAGAGGTATAATGGGTTGTTTGGCATTTACCTTGAGGATAATTTATGGTTTTCAAAAATCAGATTCAAGAAGAATACCAAACATCCCTTAAGTGTTTGTAGTATTTGTCAAGCATGCTGGTGCTGATTCTTTACTTCTCTTCCAGCCAAAACGAGAAGTCAGGTGTTAGTTCCTTTCGGTGGTTCTGAGGACTCCCATCGTCACCTCAAGTTAATGGGGGATTTAGGACAGGTAGGGTAATCTGTGTTGTTTCTTAGTTAATGTTCCTTTGACTGGGGAACTAATTTTTCTCCATTCTTCAATTATTATGTTTCTGATGTTCTCACATTTCGCTTACTCAGATTGTACCAATGAAATACAATCCACGAGATGAAGATTCAATTAAGGCAGTCATTGCAAAAGCAAACGTGGTTATCAATCTCATTGGTATGCATTCTTGAGTCGTGACTTTATATATTAAAGATACTTTAATCTTTGGATTCAATGAAGGAACACTTTGTAGCTTGGCAGGGAGGGATAATGAGACAAGAAACTTTAGCTTTGAGGAAGTGAATCATTCCATGGTGCAACAACTGGCAACGGTAGGTATCCTGCATTGACATTCATGACATTATTTTCGTTCCTGTGCTGCTTCTGATCTTACAGCCATCTACTTCTCTTAAAAGTTGGTTCCCAAAGCATCATCCTTAACAAAAATAGTAAAAAAGTGTTTATCAACATTATTTTGCCACAGTTACGATAGTTTGTTGTGTATCATACACTTCTACACATGTTGCAGTGTGCGATGCAGCTATTTAGCCTGCTTGCAATTGGACTTTTCTTTCAAGATAGATAGAAGTGTCTTTCGGGATCTGAAATTCTGTTCAATATCCAATTGGTGGAGATATAAAAGTTGGATGTCATTTATTCAGGTTTTGTTGTTAGACACATATCGGTCTTCTTTTTAATCTCTATATTTCTGCAGATTTCCAAAGAACATGGAGTTATCATGAGATTTATTCAAGTTTCTTGCTTGGGGGCATCTTCCTCGTCTCCCTCTAGATTTCTAAGGACTAAAGCTGCTGCAGAGGAAGCTGTTTTAAGTGAATTGCTTGAGGTAGAGTTATTTCCTTTCCTTCTTGTATGTTGGCATGCTTATTTAAGGAGCAGTGTCTAACATTCACTTTCATCAATAAGCCACCATTTTGAGACCTGCTGTGATGGTTGGTACTGCGGATCGGATTTTGAATCGCTGGGCCTTTTTTGTGAAAAAATATAGCTTTCTTCTGCTTGTTGGGGATGGATCTACTAAGTATGTCTTCAATCTAACAATTGAATGCCTATTTATTTTAATTTTTCAAATTTTGTAATTTAACAACGTTGCTCATGGACATATCTTTTTCTGAACCTTCATTAAAAGTTATTTACTTCCTTAAGTTTCTCACAGAAAGCTGTAACCTATCTTCTAACTTTTTATTTTCCTTTTTCTGATTACTTACAGATGTCCTACATGACTATAGGCAGGAAAAATATGCCAGCCTCCTTTGCTTTGTTCCTACAATTTTTTTGGAACAAGTATTCTTTTCACAAGTATTTTTGTTGCCCAACTAGAGCAGCTATGATAGTCACTTTGATTTGTTTTACTGATATGAATTTACAGCACATGAGAAATCTTCGATAAGTTTGCATATGGAGGAATTGGAAGATCCAGAAAAATTTGCAGAAGAGGGGGGCAAGGTCATCACGGGCCAGGAATATGTTTCTCGATTGCATGAGCTTAAAGCTGAATTAACTCATGCATGGCATGCCGATGATCGTGTTACACCCTGAAATTATCAATAAAAGTACATTTTAATAGATAATTCAGTTTAACCAATTAATCTTACCTGGAGAGAATTTGTAATAGAAGAAAACATTAAGCATCAAACCTAGAAGACTACTTGTTGTAGATTTTTCTTTTTTGTTCGGACATCTTGTATGTACATTTTCATATATTTTATAATTAAATATTTTTTCTTGGTTTATTAATTATTGTTTAGAATTTAATTATAATATTTATTAAAAAGTAAATAAAAAAAATTTTGCAAAAAAAAAAGGGTTTGCGCGACGAAGAAGTAACATACATCGCGCAAAGTGGCTTTGTGCAACGCATGTCCTATGTCGTGCAAAACTACTTTGTGTGACGTATGTTATTTCTTCGTCGCGTAAAACTACTTTGCGCGACGCAGCCCTACGTCGCGCAAAGTAGTTTTGCACGATGTAAGACCTACGTCGCGCAAAGTAGTTTTGCACGATGTAAGACCTACGTCGCGCAAAGTAGGTTTGCGCGACGTAGGTTACTTCTTCGTCGCGCAAACCCTTCTGTCACTGCCTTGCTGTGACGGTTGGCGCGCGACGAAGGTTCATTGCGCTAATGTTTGTGCGATGGTTTTTGACTTTGCGCGACGAAGGACCTGCATCGCGCAAAGTTTTTTTTACTAGTGGGGGGGGGGTGTTGGAGTGGTGTTGTGAGACTGGAAGGGTGGATTTTTGGCTGCAGGGGAGCAACAGTTTCCAGGGATCACTTCGGTGCCGCTCCTGTAGATGTTTGCCGTGCGGTATGGTTTGTAGGTGGCACAAGTGCAAGGCTTTCAGCAGGTCGTGGTCGAAAGTGATTCGTTGAAGGTTATTGCTGTTCTTAATGGGACCTATGCAGATTCATCGACTTTAGGTATGATTGCAGAGGATGTATAGTTAGCTTCCACCTTCTTTAGGGTGAAATTTATTCATGCCTCTCGTTTATATAATGGGGTTGCCCACCAGCTTGTTGCTTTGTCTAGTAGCAATAATCTAGTTTGGATTGTGGAACCTCCTACTCTTATTCAAGAGCTCCTCCTCTAAGACATATGCAACTCTGAATGAGTTCAGTTATTCAATACAACGCTTCCTTTCCCCAAAAAAAAAATTCTTGAGATGTTGTTGCAATATTCTATGACATTAAGTGTACATGGGTATTAATTGGTCACATGAAGGTGATGAAGGTATAAGATATGTTTCTTTGAATCTCAACTCGTTAATTTCACGTTCGATTGAATGCAACATAGTAGTGTGGATTTTCCACAAAATCTTGTGCCATAAACAGTAATTCAATATAGTCAAGATTGTTAAACATGATCTTGATGTCTTAGAGATGAGTCAAGGTCGACCGCCGTTGGACTTGGAGGCCGGGAATTACAAGAAAAGAAAGATAATACATGTTATTGATGACGTATTACCTATTTTCACTATTGTTGTTGACGTATTACGGGGATACTCTGATACTCAATTCAATCAATTTCGACGAAAAAATGATTTAACTGCTCAAATTTGAACCAATGGTAAAAATAATAATATAAACTAATCCAAAGAAACTCCAACCATAAAACTCATCGCAAACTTTGTAAGTACTCATTCATTTGTTGATAATACACAAAATCAACATTTTTTTCACTCTCACCCCCAAAGTTTCTTCTATCCTGTCATGGTTCAAATGTAAACCTTTATATGTGGAACTAAAATTTAATCAACTGAATATTTGGACTACATGCTAATATGATGGATTAGTATAATCACACGAATATAAACTTATAAGAACACACAACACTTACTTGCAGAGTTTTCCATAATGATCAGAAAGCAAGCAACGATAATGCTGATAAAACTAGGGTTTGTAGTGGTGAGTTTACTGCAGAAACTTATGGGGAATAAAGGATGTGTTCTTCTCTTCTATGGGACTCGCATACGTTCAACAAACGATGGGGGATGTATATATTGAACTGGTGTCCGAGTCGAGACACCATGCAGCAGTTTTAATCACATAAAGTCATAATTGCTCCATCCATTGTGGTAGCAGTTATGTCACGATGAGGAGAGTTTGGAACCAACTCATCCTCTTGATTTTGTGAGTTAGTGATTTCCCTTTAGGTGTTTTATCATGACTAAAACACATATTGTAAGTCCATTAATAATATAAGTCCATTAAGTTTTCTCAATATATAATTAACATGGTTTTGTTACAACTCACATTATCGGAAAAACCTTACATTCTCCCACATGAGTGTAATTAAAACCATATGCAAATTATGTTCAGAAAACATGGTGATCACTGACTTATACATACAAATTTCATAATGACTTTTACATCCAATGTTACTAGCTATCCACCCACATATGATTGGTATCCCTTAATATATTTTTGTATCCTTTAGTAGTTCTTCATTACCAAATATTTCATGAGTATCATGAAACAACAAAATATGCATACTGTAAGAGATGTTTGCAGCTATACCAAACACAATTACTTCATAATTATGAATTCACCATTATGAGTAAAATACCATACGTTACTCCCACATTTAAACATAATCAAGACATGCTTGTAAACCCATGCTCGTGACATGTCTTCAAAAAGCTGTAACATGTAGAGCCTTTGTTAAAGGGTCTGCAATCATGCTGTAAGTGCCAAGATGCTCTATCTCGATCACTTTCTCCCTTACTTTATCTTGTACCTTCAAATATTTGATATCCAATAACCTTGAAGCCTCTGATCTCCTGTTATTCTTGGCAAAAAAAGACTGCTGCTGCATTGTCACAGTATATCTTTAAAGGTTTTTCAATGCTTTTCACAACTTGTAGTTCATGAATTAAGTTTCTCAACTAGTTACTTTGTTTCATTGCTTCAAAACAGCCATTGTATTATGATTCCATTGTTGAGACAACTCGTGTAGTTTGCTTCTTACTTCACTACAAAAAAAACGTAGTCATTACCAATGAAGATTTTGCGAGGGCCTAAAAAAACCATCGTAAAAAGCACATTTTGTGACCATAAAATATGGGTCGTTGGTAACATGGCATGAAACAAATTTTTATTACCAATGCAAATAATGTCCGAAGAAAAAGTCTCAAGTTTCATCGGAAATTCACTTTTTTTGAGGGAAAAAAGGTACTCTCGATAATGCTTTTATATTTTCGAGGGTGATTAATTGTTGTCGAAAGTAATCATATTTTTTCCGACAAAATTTTTTCTTTGTCAGAATAAATTTTTAAGGCATATGGTTTTGTTGGAATCAATTATTTACCAATGGTCACATGTGTCGTTGGAATATTCTTGAAATAAGTTTGATGCTTAATTTAAATTCTACAATAAATAAACATATAACTTAGAATACATATGGAGAAAATTGGACCATAAAATTAAAAATAAAACCGTTGAGCAAAAAAGTGTATAACTTAATATAGTATTCTATGATAAAGAAATAATTTGCATGCCTTTGTTAACTCATAACATTTATCATGGGCATTGAACAAAGTATCACTACAAAAAAAAAAGGGTCATTTACGACCAACTGTTTACAAGGACCTACGAATACCCTTGAAAAAATCATTATTTCCGACCAAAAATTATGCTCCGTCGAAAATAGTTCGACAAGAGGCATATTATTTTCTACACTCAAAATGCCCTTGGAAAAGGGTTCCCTCGCCATCGGAAATAGCTGTTTTTTTTGGAGGGAATTTTTGGCGCCACATTTATGTACGATGAAACTTGTATTAGTCGGTAATAGTTGTATTTTTTTCAAAGGTGTGTTTAAGTTGTCGGAAGTAATTGTTTATTTTTGAGGGAAACAAGAGGTCGCCGGTAGTAATTTCTTTATTTTCGAGGGTTATTAGTTGTTGTTAGAATGGATTGTGTATTTGCGAGAGGAACTACATGCCGTCAAAAATGATTATCTATTTAAACTTTATTTATTTTTTATTTTATTATAAGAAGTGGGATAAATTTAAATCAACTCGTATACAACAAAAAGATTGTTAGGCTGACAATTTTAGATTAATCTAGCAAAGTTTTTTACTCTCATACTCATAAATATTTTATTCTTAATATCACATACGTGAGATTAAAAACTTCCAAAGCAATTTTAAGATACCAAAGCACATGAAAAAATTCATAATAATTCATTTACAAGTGTGAAAAATGTGAAAAAAATAATGCAAAACGCTCATAATAATTAATGTAGAAGTGTGAAAAATGTAAAAAGAATATACAATCACTCGTAATAACAAGCTTTACAACTTTCGTGAAGGGGTCAAATCTGAAATTTGACACCAGAACCATAAACCCTAGATTTATATTTAACCGTCGATTGTCATTTATGCTCTATTCTTCTCACCGGATTTTATTTTTTGAAAACATGATCTTTTAACAGATGCAAACAAATGAACGATTCAGATTATTGATATCACGTTCCAATGTTTACGGTTAACTGAAATATGAGTCGATGTTATATATTTTCTAGAGGGTTTAAAAACTCAAAGCAATAATTTCACAAACCATAAAAATCTGAACGTGATATCAATGAGCTGAACCGTTCATGTTTCTGAATTCACTAGAAGATTAAGTTTTCTAAAAACAAAATTTGAAAAACAAAATTTTGTGAGAAGAATGGAGCGTAAACGTAAACGACAATCAACGGCTAAAATTTAATCTACGGTTTATGGGATGATAGTGGTGAATTTCGGAGTTGATCTTTTCACAAAAGTTGTAGAGATTGTCATCACGAGCATTTGTATATTTTTCTTATATTTTTCATACTTCGACATTAATTAAAAAACTTTACTACAATAATAACCATAGGATTTAATCTCACTTATGTGAGATTAAATCCTTACCGTGTGTTTAGGAGAGTTGCCAAAATTTTGGCATTTTTAGCTCTTTATTTTCAAAATTTTGGCATGGCGCCCAAAAACTTGAGTCTCTATTTCCAAGGAGAGTGCCGATTATCTCTTTCTCGCAGCTTTTCTGTATTTCCTCTTCAGAAGCAAAAGCCTAGCCTCCATCCTCCATCCTCTAGTAGCCGTACGTGATGATGATAGAAACCATGGAATCCTCACACATGTTGTTTTTTTCAGTTTATATCTTATGAGGTCTGACATATATATTTTCAGGTCTCACCTGAATTTGAGATTTGGAAGCAGAAAACGAGAAGGCTAAGAGGATGGTGAAGGACGTGGCTACCTACTTCTCTATGACTTTGGGGGCTTTTGTGTTCTGGCAATCTTTGGATGAAGTCCACGTCCGGATCGCTCTGCATCAGGACGAAAAGGTAAAAATCTCTTCTTTCTCATGCTTGCAGATGCAATTTCTCTTTTAGATTGGACTTATAATTTGGGTGATTAACAATATTTTTTTTAAGAATTTGATTGAATTTCATAAACACAAGCGCAGAATTGAGAAGGTTCTCATCGAATGGTTCAATTATGGCGGAAAATCCGATTTTTAGGAAATTGGCATGAAATTTGGTGGTTAGGTTACAGGGAAATGGGAAGTAGGTGATGCTACAGAATTGGGGAGGAAATCAGGGGTGGGAGAAATACCCTATCTCTCAGACTTCTCCTGTCTCTCATTCACTTTCTTTTTCTCTCTGTCTTTCAGACTTCTCCCCTATCTCCATCACCGTGACCCAACATCATGACAGCCACCGCCGTCTCATCTCTCAATCTTGGAATATAAGTCTTTACTCTCATTGAAAGCAACCACCACCGTCCGATTACGAACCCCACCGCCACCCTCCTTGCTCCACTGTCACACTGGCTTCCTTCCCTCATTTTCCCAAACCCATTTCGCCTCCCTCTCCTCAACTGCCGTTGGCATGTCCCTAACTCACTCTCCACCACAACCACTACCAGGAGGTACATAATATAAGAAACTCAAACCCCAAGCTACCCTTCTTCTTTTTTTGTTGGTAATTTTGCGATTTAATCCATTTTTTCTTGTGGGTACTCACGGGTACGTAGTGTTATGGGTGCTCTATTCCTTAACCTTGACAGATGAAGATTTGGACACGTTGGGGTTCGAGAAGGTCACCGAGGAGTTCATCGGAGAGTGCAAGTTGGAAGCTTTGCTTCTCTGCCATAAAAAGACAGGTGCCTAAGTCGCTTCCATGTCCAACGACGACGAAAATAAGGTTTTTGGCATCGTTTTCTGAACCCCACTGTGAGTACTCTTCCAAAATCTCAAAATTTTCATTTTTTTGTTTGTTTGTTTATTTATTAATAAAATGGAGCTACCCATTTATGTAGTTGTTGATTTTCTGTGCTCTGCTAGCAGTTAGTCTGATATTTGTATCATAATTAAACTTGTGGTTGTGTGGTTTCGGTGTAGTGAGATATGAGGAATGATGAAGGAGCTACTTAAGTAGTGAGATACATGAAGGAGCTATATGAAGGAGTGATGAAAAAGCTATATGAAGGAGTGATGAAGGAGCTACATACACTGTATGTACAAAAGGGAAGATGCTTTTACCTGCACGTCTTCAAAAGAATTCAAGTTTGCATTTTCGAAGTATGGGGACTAGTGTTGATATGTTCAAACACATATCTTAGGTTTGCAATGAATGTATTGGCTTTACCACATTGATCATATATACGTTTTTATTAATGATAATACAAAATATTCTTTAAATAATGCTCAGTGGAATTTTTACGAAAAAGCATATATTTCTTGCCTCAATTTCCATTGGAAATGTCTATTATTTTATTTTTTTCCGATGAAAATAATATTTGTGACACATTAGGGTAGTAGTTAATGGTTGAAAATTGTAATTGCGACGATTGTGTAGTCTCACAAATAAAAATTATTTTGTTGGAAAAAAATTTTCTAACACAATTATTTGGTTGAAACAACATCATCGCAAAAAAAAAAGTCTTTTGGAAAGTAATTTCGACAACGATATAATTATTTACGACCACATTTCCATTTCAAAAATAAAATAAGTTTGTCACTTTGAAAATTCATTTCTGACGAAAAACTAACTACTAACAACAAGTCTTGTGCGTCGATAATAAAGTATTTTCGACAGCTAGTTGGAAAAAAGGTATTTCTAATGGGACAATTTGCGACGCCCAACGAAGGTTTTTCCTCGTTGGAAATAAGTATTTGTGACGGCAAAATGCCTTTTTCGACGACATTTGACCCTCGTTAATGACACTTCATTTTGTATCACTTCCACAACTAAATTTTCAGAGCAAAAAAAAAAAAAAACCACAATCACAATGAGAGCTTATCCCACAATTTCATCATCTTAGATGAGGATGGTAGAATGGATTCTCTAAGTTCCAAAAAAAGGGAATCTTTAAGTCTCCACACCAAGGAGAGCATTGATGAGGAGATGAGTGACCTAGGAAGATTTAGATGCTAGTAAAACCTTCATAGGGTGGCCGACCTCTAAGAGAGAAAAGGGAGCTTGTGTTCTCATCTTTTCTCCAAAAGAAACCCCAATGATGAAATGGCTATAAAGTTGCCTTTATACCACCTCACAATGAAGTGGCAAACTTGCAATTAAGCCAAGTTCACTACCCCTCTCTATATGGCCGGCCATTAAGGGTTCATTAGGTTTTCAAGCCCTTTGCATTTTCAAGTTGTCATACAACTTGAGTTAATAGGCTTGACATTCAAATCCCATTGGGCCTTGCGGCCCAAAACTAACCCGAGGTCTATAATGAACATATTCATTTGATTAATTAACATATTAATTAATCCTAGCCATAAATAATTAAACCATTTAATAATCCTTACTCATCTCCGTTGTTTCGTCAATCTCTACCTTACTCAATGTACGATCCATTACGTTCTTTTTAGCGAGGCAGTGGGCGATTGTTACTTTTAACAATCGATTGTGAATTGAAACATACTTTCAATTCTCCCTTTAGCGATTACTCACCTTTGGGCTTCCACAAACCATAAGTGACACCTAGCAGTATGTCATGGCTACCTAAGCTAATCAGAAGAGGTGGAGAACCTATTTAGTTTAGGATTACAATGCAATACGACATTTAATTTCTCTATTACAATACTCTTGACCACTTTGTTTGGTTTGATAGTTTATTCATGTCTACTAGCCGACATTCACCTCTCCCAGACCCTGCTTAAAGCGGGAGCCTTGTGCACTGGGTACGACCTTTATATGATTACCTTGAATGTGATTTGGAATGACTTCCTAAATCTCATTCATACTCTGGCCAGAGATTCTTAATCATATCATAAAGTATTCTCCCTCAAACGGTTTGAATGTTAGAGATCCTTTGTTGTGCATTCACTTGCCTCCATGACTAAGTGGCTTAACCCCAACTATGCCATGGACACCTCCTGATGGAGTGACTTTGACATAGTTAAAGATTAAGGACCTAACCACAAGACAACTATGATGCCTCAGGTAAAAGGACTACTTTGCATATACCTCAACCATGAGTTCTCATGTGACATGAGTATGAGAACTCCTTATTGATCATGTTTAGTTGACTCATTCTCTATTGAGCACCTACATGCTTGTCTTGGTGTCAGTCACACCAATGACTCGAGACTAGTCACTCTTTCTTAGAGAAGACATAACACGTACTGATCTTAACGGACTGTCAATGCCCAATTGACAATCCTATGATCAGGAATGTTTAGATCACATTCTCCTAATAACATATTCCTTGGACTTATCATTTAAGCATATAACATTTATATGAGACGGCTTCAAATAATAATTTTTGCTTTTTATCTTAAACTAGATTAGTTTAACATGTGAAATGTCCGTAAAGTATCATCATATGATTGGTTTTAGGGCACATTTCCAACATTTTCGACGCCCAGCAAGGGCTTTTTCCCGTCAGAAATAAGTATTTGCGAAGGCAAAATGCCTTTTCCAAAGATATTTTACCTTTGCTAATGACACTTTGTTTTGTAGTGCTTCTCTAGGAGATTTCACCTCCACACATGATAAATACATAACCACTGGTTGACATTCTGTCATCCACACAACCTCCCAAATTAGCATCAGTTTAATACACCACTTCCAAATTCTCTACATGACGAAACCCTAGCACATTTTCTCGAGTTTTCTTCAAATATCTCAGGATTTTCTTACTTGCATTCCAATGTGCCACACCAAGATTCGATTGAATCCTTCAAAGTACACTCAATGCAAAAGCCAAATCTAGCCTAATGCATACCTATGCATACTTTACACTGCCTACAAGTGAGGCATAAGGTTTGTTCTTCATGTCTTCCACTTCAAAGTCTGTCACTAGACACTGAGCCAAAGAAAGTTTATCACCTTTAGCTATAGGGACATCTCCACTACTACAATTAGACACGTTGAACCGCATAAGTACTTTGTTAATGTAGTTCTTCTGTGAAAGACCTATAGTGCCTTTGGATCGATTTCTCACAATTTCAATCCCTAAAACAAAGTGTGCTTCACCTAAATCCTTCATGTCAAAGCTGGCTGAAAGCATGCTTTTTGTTTCAGTAAGGAGTTGAACACTGGAACTTGTTAAGAGTATGTCATCAACATACAATACCATGAAGATGAACCCTGATCTTGTTGTCTTCAAATAAATGCAGCTGTAAATTTTGTTCTCACTAAAACCAAATGAAGTTCCCACTTGATCAAACTTCTTGTACCATTGCCTAGAAGCTTGTTTAAGTTCATAAATAAACTTATTAAGCTTGCATACCAAACCTTCCTTCCCCCTTTTAATGAGTCATTGGGGTTGTTTCATAATTTGTTTCATCAAGATTGCCATTTAAGAAGGCAGTCTTCACATCCATTTGGTACAGCTCAAGATTGAATTGAGCTGTGTGGGCAATGATGACCCTGAAGGAATCCTTGGTTGAAACTGGAGAAAAAAGTCTTTGTGTAATCCAAACCTTATTTTTGTGTAAACCCCTTAGCTACTAATTGAGCCTTGTGTCGTTCAATGTTGCCTTGGAGTCTCTCTTAGTCTTGAACACCCACTTATTCCCAACTGGTTTTATGTCACTAGTTCCCTCAATCAAACTCCAAACACCATTTTGTGCCATCAAGTTCAATTCTTCTTCCATTACAGCATACCATAATGTAGCCTGTGAACTGTGCATAGGTTTAATAAAAGTTATAGGGTAATCATCATCACCTATATCATACTCCACTTCATTGAGATGAGTCACATAATCACTGGATAATGCATGTTTTCTTATTCTCTTATTTTCTCAATTCAGTGGTGGAAGGTACAATTTCTTTAAGATTGGAACAAGGATTGAAATATCGGCTGATACATCGATATATCGGCCGATATATCGATATTTTCAATTGTTGATATCGATACTGGGGGGTAAGGCCATATCTTCCCCTATATCGACGATATATCCTCGATAAGTGCGATATCTCCGATATTTTGCTGATATTCTCGATATTTCCCGATACCTATAACAAAACCTAAAAAAATTCAAAAGTTTTGAAGCAAATTGAAACCCAAAAGATTTTTTGGAGGTATGTGGGCAGTGATTAGATATGTGTGAAAGCTTTTGGCAATATCCAATTCAAAAGATTTTTTGGAGTATCCATTAATTATTACTATAAAAAATCTATGCACAATGAATTGAGGGGACATACGTGTCTTATCTGAAGAGAAGGAAATACCCAAATCCAAATATTAAATTTCTGGTTAAATATATCTTTAATACTTGCAAGAAAATGATGCACATGTGTTTGAGCTTCTTGTGGAACTCTTTATCATTTAATATTTGTTTTGTTTTTTGGTTGTTTCTTTTTTTTTCTTCAGTTTTTGAAGTCAGGCAATTGGCAATATGCAATGCACTGCCCATATACCTCCAGAAAAATCTGATTACCTTTATTTCCATCAAAGCTAGAGAATCATCCAAATGGAATCCATAAAATAAAATCTGCAAAGCCCATATACCATTGTCCCCCAAGCCCCAAAACTTCCCATTGTTATCACGAGAGAAGCCTTCTTTAAATCAGAGGCTGTTTTACTTTTTTTGGGGCACCAAATCTTCACTTCTCTTCTTTCTCTGCGAGCTTTTCAATTTTTATTTAGTCTATGAGCTTATTTCCTTGTTTGCAAGTTCTCTTTGACTGTTGTTTCAGGTATGTGGCTTTCCCTCATGGTTTGTATTATTTTTGTGATAGATTTGATATTGTACGTTAATTTAATATATTTAAGTGTGATAGATTAAAAATGGCAAGTAGTAGTAGACCAAGTGGAGTTAGTGTGCCTGGTGGTCTTGATGTGGCATGGAAATATGCTCGTCTAATAGAACGCAATAAGCACGGCACAATATGCACATTTTGTGAATCCACATTTCAAAGTGGTGGAATTACATGGTTAAAGTATCATTTGGCCGGATTTGATCCACATAAGAGTGTAAAGAAGTGCAGAAAAGTACCACCAGATATTAAGAATGAGGTAATTGCATGGATAAAGGATAAAGAGTCTAGCAAACAACATAAGAAATCTGTTAAAGAAAACATAAGATCTACAACAAGAGGGGGATACATGGGCAGTAAAAGTAGCAATCCTGTTGATAATGATGATGATGAGGATGGATATGCATATCCTCCATACATGCACCCTGCGGAGAAAGAAGATTACCTTGCTGCCATTAGAGCG